CTCTCCCCCAGTACAATCTCCTCTAAACTATCCTTACGGTCAAGCTGTCAATCGGGATCAACTACTGGCCCCTTCAAGGAATTCTCTTCTGCGGAGACAGGCCATTCGTGGTTTAACAAAGACGCATTATGGCTATGGGCTTACCTGAGGATGGAATCGGCAGGGTGTCTGGAGCAGTGTTGTCTACCATTCCGCACAGTACAGCAGATCAAACTGCGGTTTTTGTGCTCCCACCCCACCAGCGTGCCAACAACCTAGTGTGAACGTCCTGGGGTCCTGCCCATCCATTTTTCTCCTATCATGACAATGACAAATTTATTTATTTTTTCCTTCCTCAGAGTAAAAAATGGGTCCCGCCAATATCGTCCACTCCCTACATTCCTAGCTGCCACCGAAGTCTTCCAGTCCTATTTATTTGTTAATTTCCATAAATAACTTAGCGTCATTATTTTGCTTTCTGTGTGCACACGCTACTGAGTGACCATGGGGAAAAAAAGAAGAATCTAAAACCCTCCCTACTGTTCCCTATTCCGTTCTGCACCCCCCCCTCCCCCCACCACTCAGGTTCTTTATCCCTACATCTGCGGACTAGTTACGTGGACTGAGATGACTTGTTGTTTTTTGGCTTTCAAATACCACCACCACCCACCCAACCACACAGACCGAGGAAAGGACACTGGCAGATAGAGCCGGCAAGAGGGAGCCTATTATTCTTTGACATTTTAACTAAAATGGCTACCGACACTGCCATTAACTTCCCCCTCTTTTATCCTACTTTTATTTACACTCTGGTGATGTGCCTGACAAAATGCACATTTGAAATGAAGCACCTGGCTTGTCTTGCTTGTCTTCTGCACCGTATTGCCGCCTGTTGGGATTGGGACCTTCCAGCTGCCGATGCATATGACGATCCTATTGCCAGCGATGACGGCGGTGCCCGAGGCGATAAGGATGACGATACCCATGGGGATGTATAATCAGCCGCGCTCATCCCTGTACATGCACACGCATACACACATGCATGTAGTTAATAAACAATCATTAATATGCCTACTTTACTTGCATGCCTACGTACTTAAATAAGCATATGTGTACAGTCCAATCTATCCGTTCTGACTTTGTCATCTTCAATATCGGGTGTCCGTAACGGGGAACTATCCCCCCTACTCTTGCAGCGTGCCGTGG